CAAATTCAAACATCATTTTTAAATGTTTAATATGAAAGTGAACCATATGATGATATATATAAATATTTTCATATGAATATTATATTTTCAATTTTGCTCTAGAATTCAACATATTCTTTTGAAATATTTTCGTTATAATCCGTGTCCATTATTGTAAAAATAAATATTGAGTCCACACGTGACCGGAAAGATAAAACTTATAAAGTAAAATATACAATAATTTACATAAACACATGTAAAAATTAGTGAAATTTAAATATTTTTGAAATTGATTGATCATATATTTGGTTTACAGAATTTGATTCTTATATTATCTAAATTTATATAGCTTCTACAATTTTTTTGACAAAATGATAGTTTTTTATATTAATTTTTTTTATTCATGTCTTTATGAATATTTGCATAAAATACTCTATATAAAAATCAAGATCGTAGGTGACATAAAAAAAATATAGTTCTTTTAGAGTTATTTTTTATCTTATCAATAAAGAAAGTTCATAACATTTAAAAAAAAAAATCATTTTCTAATATAAGTTGCATAGAGAAATAAATCTAGTACAAAATTATCAATGGTGTGTCAAGATGAGTTAAGTTTGGCCTAAACTTACAAAATTATTGTATCAATTATTGATATTTAATACCATACATTACAAAATGTTCATACATAAGATTTTCTTTCCCTCAAGATGTTTCCTTAGATTTTAAAACGTGTATTTATTGGACTATTTTTTTTAATCACAGAGTTAATTTGATCTTATAATATAATAAAAGTAGAGATTGAAAAGTAAAAAATAATTTGAAACTATTTTATGTGAATTATTTTAAAGTATATAAAATTTTCTCGTGTTATCAAAATATTGATATACCAAACATGATTGAAAATTATATAATGACATTATGGCATGTCGCCAATAAAAAAAAAACATCGGAACATCTTATATATTTTTTTAATTAGTTTATTATACAATAATTTAATTTTAATATAGGATATACTTTTAATATACTTGATCATAAAAGACAAAACAACAAAAAAAAGTTAAAAATATATATTTTTTAAATATGATAGTTTTTTGGAAGTTTTAACTAAGAAAATTTAAAGAATTTGAAAAGAGATATTGGAAAAAAAACAATTATCTATTGGGAAAATTTTTATTTTAATATCGAACTATCCATTTTGAGTCAAAATAAGTACCAACTTTCTAATGAG